AAAGAAAGAAAGAAAGAAAAGAAAAGGAAAGGAAAGAAAAAAGAAAAGAAGCCGGGTGTGGTAGTGCACGCCTGTAATCCCAGCACTCGGGAGGCTGAGGCAGGAGGATCGCTGCAAGTTCAAGGTCAGCCTGGGATACATAGTGAGTTCAGGGCCAGCCTGAACTACAAAGGGAGACCCTGACTCAAAACAAAAACAAAAAGAAAGAAAGGAGAGAAAGAAAATGTTCAGCTTTCCATGATTTAGTTATCCTATTCTGACTATATTGCTTCTCTCCCTAAGAGCTTAGTAATTAATCTGTTTAATAACTCACTTGAGAAAATTTGGGGATTCAGTATTAAATTCAGTAGATGAATTTCCCAGAATTGAGCACTTCTTCTCTTTTAAAATTTGGCTTTCTCCATTTTCTCATCATGCTTCAGTTCTCTATGCAACATTTTCTAAGATCTCAATAAAAGTTCACATAAGCTTGTCCCCTCCCCCTTTATTTCATTATTATTTTCACCAGTCCCTTTATTTCATTCTAGCCATCCCTATTTTTTTATCCTCGGTTTAAAGGTGACTTTAACCTTCCCTCCACAGCTCACAAAGTTTGCCTATCCTGAACTTTACCTTTCCCAAAATTATTCTTAAAAGTAGTAGCTATTCTTTACTGTTCACGCTGGGTTACATGTATGTGGTCACCCACCCCCTCTCCCCCAGCTGTTTTTCTGCAAGGCCTCTTAAAAGAATTACCCAGAGAGCATTAAGCATCGTGTTTTGGGCTGCTTGTGTGGAGCATAAAATTTAATTTCCAAAGAGATCTCATTCCTCTTGAGATACTTCTTACTTTTTAAGAAGTATTTCTCTAACACTTCTTTGACATTCCTACAGTCTGATCCCTTAAGGTCGATGACCTGTATATCCTTGCACCCAGCATTCCATGCCTTATGACAAACTATGACACTGTCCAGAAGTTTTGATCTGAATTAAATCTAAAGTGGGACATCCCCTTATAAAGGCTCTCCCTAAATCCTGTGAGATGGAATGAACAACAGGAGAAAATGGGAATGTATCAGATGCTTTAGTTTGAATGACAGGAGATTCCCAATAGCTCTCTGCATAGTTGGAGAACTCCTGCAGAACTTCGTCTTGCCTTAGTGAGAGTTTTGTGAAGTATATCAGGAAAATCTAATTCTGTTCTAAGCCTGAGTATCAGGAAATACAGGGCACATTCAAAAGGATAATTGACGATAGTTTAATGAAGGGATGAATATGTAGGTAGGATTAAGAGACAGAAACCAGGGATGCTGAGGCTTCCAGGGACCATGGCCAGAGGAAATTTTTACCCACCTAGATCTAAAGGGACAAGGGGAGGGAGACATTGCCAGAACCCACGGAGAGCTTGCATTAATTTGCTAGGATTGGCATAAGAAATTACCATGGACTGAGTGGCTGAAACTCTAGAAATGTATTGTCTCACAGTTCTGGATGCCTGAAAACAGGGTGTTGAAGGAGTTGGCTCCTTCTGGGAGTTGTAGAGGAGACTGTCTCAGCCTTTTTGCTTGTGTTGCAGATGGCCGTCTCTCCCTTGTGTCACCACATGCTGTCTTCCTGTGTGTCTCTCACTGTGTCTTCATCTCTTCTTTTTTTTGGTACCGGGGATCGAACTTGGGTCCTTGCGCTTTCACAGCAGGCGGCAAAACCACTGAGCTAAATCCCCGGCCCTCTTTATCTCTTCTTATGAGGACACAGGTCATACTGGATCAGGGCTTATCCTAGTAACCCCGCTGAACACTGATACCACTGTAAAGGCCTTTCTCTAACTGAGGACATATTTGGAGGTCCTGGGGGTTAAGACTCTAGAATTCGTCTTTTAGAGGGAGGAACAAAGGTGTAAGAACAAGCTGCTAGGCTGTAGCTATGCCCTTTGATAAGCCCAGCAGGGAGAGAGCCAGGAGGTGAATACCTAACCTCTCTCCCCTCATTCTCTTGGGCTAGTGGCTCATGCCGATCAAACCTCGCTGGAAGTTAGGAAGCAAAGGACCTTGGGGTATGTAGTCCTAAAGGCAGCCTCCCAGGGCACGGCAGAGCAGAGAAGGCTGGGGTGTGGATCTGGAGCCACCAACGGAAGATCCAGCACAGCCTGTCTGGGCAGTGGGTACACCCAGAGCAGCTGGCACTTTCCAAGCTAGTAAGTCCACCCTTGGGTGCCCTGATCACTGGACAGAGTTGAGAATTAAAGCTACTTGGAAACAATCCCCCTTCTGGTTTCATTCTATAAAAGCTTAAGCTTTGCAAGAAAATTGTGCTTGGGTGAAAGGTTGGGTGAAGTAGATGAAGGACAAAAGAATAAAGTCCTTGGCTTGGTGGGATGGAAAGAGGCAGCAGCTGGGAGACAAGGAGGAGGAGGCCGAGGAGGAGGTTGGAGCGACTGGTGATTCCTGAGGCATCAGGGGCCCTTGCTCTGCTCCTGGAAGTCTGTGGAGGAGCAGCAAGATGATCTAAAGTGACCTGAGCTGATCCTGTGAAGCTCTGAGCTCCCACTGGTTGGCAGTGACCGCTGGCAGAGAAGCCTGACACAGTGCAGCTTGGCTTTCCCCACAGCATCAGTCCCAGGATATAAGAAAACAAACCCCACACTAAAATCTACCAAGTGCACATCTGGTCAGAACAGTCATTAGCAGGCAGGCACAGTCCAGGTCCTGGGATCTAGTCTCTAAGTTCTTAGAGGTCCCAGCTCTGGGTCTTTAGGGGCTGTGGCCACAGCATGAATGGAAGCTATATTCAAGTTGCAGAGTCAGAGCTCCGGCCTTCATGGTGGCAGCCAACCAGAGACAGTCAGCCTTAGACTTCACTGTCCCACACCCAACTCATGGCATGGGTGTTATCAGAAAAGGATTTTTGGCAGTGAAAAGGGTTGCTTGGCAATTTGCATAATGGATGTTAGAAGAGAGCTGCTGCTGGTGAAATTTCTGGCGTTGGATTTTTCTGAACTACTTTGTGAGAGTCACTCTCAGATTAGATAATTTACTAGCTGTGGAAATTGCTGAGTATACCACAGACTGTACCTGGGTGTAACTTTAAGTCACTGGCACCCACAGATCTCATTCCGTCTTTGTGAAAAGTTTGATAATGTTCCCAAGTATTTGTTCTAAGGAGACTTACTTCTTTACCAGTTTATAATAGAAAAAGGAGGGCCAGGGATTTAGCTCAGTGGTTCTGCTGCCTGCCTTGAAAGTGCAAGGTCCCAAGTTTGATCCCCCGGCACACACCCTCCAAAAAAACCCCTCAAAACAGAAAAAGGATGGAAGCAATCTGGGATTCCGACTCTAGGAGAATGCTTAAGAAATTTTACAGCACTTCCCTTCCATAGGACTTGCCAAAACAGGGACACACTGGATCCTGTCTAAGGCTCTGGAAGTACTAGAATAGCTTCCTTAAACATCCTCATCTAGAATATGCTTTACTGCTTTGATTCCAACAGCAAATATCAAGGTATTTCAAGAGAAATTATAAACATGATGAGATGCATTGTTCTTAGGAGGTCAGGCCAAGATGCTTGTTATGCCTGGCATATCCAAGAGGCCATGTGGACTTGGACAATAAGAATAATAAAATGATGAGCTGGGCATGGTGGCACATGCCTGTAATCCCAACACACAAGAGGCTGAGGCAGGAGGATTGCCGCAAGCTTGAGGCTAGCTTGAGTTAGATAGTGAGTTCAAGGACAGCCTGAGCTATGTAGAGAGACCCTGTCTCAAAAACAACAAAAAAAGATGGATGATAAAAAGTCTTTTTCAAGCAGTGCATAGGTCTCCCAGACTCTTATGTGACCCTGGGGAGAGGGATTCTGTAATGACAAGGATTTCACTTCTGCAACTTGGTAGGGTCAGGGTCAAGGTGAAGGAAATTCAGGAAATATATAAAAATGGATAATCTGGCTCACACATTCAAGTGCTGACTTCTACCTCCTATACAAGGTTGAATTCCTTTTTTTCTCTCTCAAATACTTTCCTGCATGCTTACCTTTATAACAAGCATTTATACTCTAGGCATTGGACTAAGGGCTCTGAGATACAGAGAAGAAAAAAATTGGCTTTGCCCTGTAGTACCTAATAGCTGGCTCTTATATAACAATTATTGTTTACCAGACACTGTTGTCCATCATCCGCGAACAGCCCTGTGAGATAAGTACTGTTATTATCATCTCTGTTGGACAAGATGACAAAACCGAGGTCCAAACAATGTCACATGAGCCAGGGAGAGGCAGAGTTTTGAATCTGAGCAGTTGGGTTCTGGAATTGGTACTTTTTTTTATGCTACTGGATATCAAACCCAGGGCCTTCACACTGAACTACATCTTTGGCCCTTTTTTATTTTTTATTTTGAGACAGGTTCTCATTAAATTACTAAGTTGCCCAGGCTGAGCTCGTGATTACTTGTGATCTTCTGGCCTCAGCCTCTCAGAGTGCTTGGATTATAGGGTGCACTACCACGCCTGGCTTGCAATTGGTACTCTTAACTCTATACCATATTGCTGTACCTATCCAGTGTAGTGGAGGAAGGCTATAGAAACAAAATAATTAAATACACAGCACAGTGTATGGTGCATGGGGTACTGTGAGAACAGAAAAAGAGGGAAGCGGTATCTCTGATACGATACTTGGGGAAGATTGGAAACTATGAATGGGCATCAGCTATGCACTGAAGAGGAAAGTAAACTAAGCCCTGGTATGTGGGGCAAACCAAACACTAGTACCACTGGAATATAAGATTCAAAGGGGCCGGGTTCAGTGGTGCACACCTGTAGTCCCAACTACTCAGGAGGCTGAGGATCACAAGTTGGAGCCCAGATGGGCAACTTAGAGACTTAGGGAGAATTTGTCTCACAATTTTAAAAAAAGTTTTCTTTATAAGACTGGGGATGTAGTTCAGTGCAAAGGCCTTAGGTTCAATTCTATGCTGTAATAAATAAATAGGGATAGGGATGTAGCTCACTGCTTCCTGGGTCCAACCCCAGTGTGGGGTGGATGAGAGGGGAGTTGGGGCAGATAGTTTGCTCCACAGATGTTTACTGAGCCCCTTCTCTGAGCAGGCTCTGTATTTGGTGCTGGTGATAAAGCAGGGACGGAGCATGTAAGGAACTTGAGCCTTCATACATTTTTCTCCCTTACCCACTAAAACAATTTGTAAAAATGTACCCGAATGCAAAACACTGAACAAATTAGGAACAGTAAGGAGTTCCCTCAACCTGACACCCACAGTCAGCATCACATTTTATGATGGAAGGCCAGATGCTTTCCTCCTAAGATCATAAACAAAATTAGGATGTCCACTCTTGCCTTCCCTATTTAATACCCTGTTTCCCCCAAAATAAGACCTACCCGGAAAATAAGCCCTTAGCATGAGTTTTCAGGATGCTTGTAATATAAGCCCTACCCCAAAATAAGCCCCAGTTAACACTGTTGGCCAGATGGTACATTTAGTACATCTACTGCAACACATGACAGACACATTGAATTATGACAATGTTCCAGAAAATGACACGACTGTATTTGAATAAATGTAGAAATTTGATATGAATAAATGAATGAATATCAATAAATGTAGACTTTTGTACATAAACGAATAAGTGTAGATTATTGTACATAAAAAAATAAGGCAGGGCCAGGGATTTAGCTCAGTGGTTTTGTCACCTGCTGCGCAAGCGCAAGGACCCAAGTTTGATCCCCGGTACCAAAAAAAATAAAAATAAAAATAAGGCAGCCCCTGAAAATAAGCCTGATTTTGTCTTTTGGAGCAAAAATTAATATAAGACTCAGTCTTATTTTGGGGGAAATACAGTGTTGTATTGGAGCTCCTAGCCAGTACCACTGACTAGAAAATTAAAAGGCATAGATTGAAATTGATAGGTCTCCCACCACCTCAGCAGCTATTATGTATAGTAGCTGCCCTCTTCCTATGGTGCCTTGCCCCTTCCCCTGTGTGACGTCATGCCAAGATGGGTGCTCCCACCAAAGAACAAACCCTTCTTCCCAGCATGCCCCTGTTCCCACCTAGAGAGTAACCTAACACTCGCTCACCTCCTACCACCTAGTGACATCACCGGCTCCTCCATTCCCTAGTCACTACCTCACTCAACCCCGCCTCAGCCCCTACAAACCCCACCCCAGTCTCTATAAAAGACTCTCCCTGCCCCAGCCATATTGCTTTTGTCTCTCCTTTGTTCAGAGACAGCCCGGCAGATCTATTCCCCTAATAAAGGCTTGTTGTGGCCTGGTCTGGTCTTGGTCTTCGGCCCTTTAACCTGACAGAAATTTTAAAAATAAAAGTTATATTACAGTTTTGAATGTCATTCAAAATTCAAATGCTATAGCAATTTAATATGCACCATTGTCTTAGACACTTTCTTCATTGCTGGGACAACATATCTGACACCTACAACTTAAAGGAAGAGAAGATTATTTTGGCTAATGCTTTCTGCCCATGGTATGCTGGCTCTAAGGCAGAAAGGCAGGGGCAGAGCGGAGGAAAGCTCCTCCCATCACGGCAGCCAAGAAGCGAGCGGAAGTGACCAGGAAGAGAAATAAAACCTTCCGGGTCACAACCCCAGTCTCCTACCTCTTAAGACCAGGTCCCACCTCCTACCGGTAAGTCAGCCATATCCCCCCCATGATTCAGTGACCTCCCCAAAGCCCCGTCTGTGAGCGCTTGAGACCCTTAGGGAACATTCTCAATCCAAATTCTAACAACCACCTATTTGTGTATTTATTTTTAATTTTAGGGCTAGACAATGAATATAGGACCTTGTACATGTTCTACCACTGAGCTATGTCCCAGTTCACCACCATCCATTTATATGTATTAAGAACATAAAGGGCCGGGGATTTAGCTCAGTGGTTTCGCTGCCTGCTGCGCAAGCGCAAGGACTCGAGTTTGATCCCCGGTACTAAAAACAAAAACCAAAAAGAACACAAATCTGGGCCGGGGATTTAGTTCAGTGGTTCTGCTGCCTGCCTTGAAAGCACAGGACCCGAATTCGATCCCCAGTACCAAAAAAACCCCCCAAAAAACACAACATAAAACGACCCTTTTTAGCTATGAAAAAATTTAACATAACCAATTCCATTTTCTCCTTGAACTTGCATTTTTTTATTCCCTTTGCCCTTCACAGAGGCTTATCCTTAGCTAATATAAATTTATTATATAAAATCCTATTATACTTCCCTGCCTTGTAAATATGTATTTACATAGAACTTTAATTTTAAAGATATTCCCTGGGATCGTAATTCTCTCTCTCTCTCTCTTTTTTTCTTTTTTGAGTACTGGGGATTGAACTCAGGACCTTGCGCTTGCAAGGCAGGTGGCGGAACCATTGAGCTAAATCCCTGGCCCCAGGATTGTAATTCTCTAAAAAATTTCCTAACCTATCATTGTAAATATTATTACTGCATGATTAATTGAAGTAATATTTAGCATTATTTAAAATGACTTTTTTTTTGTACCAGGGATCAAATTCAGGACCTTGCGCTTTCGAGGCAGGTGGGCACCACTGAGCTAAATCTCCAGCCCATGATTTTTATTTTTAATTAAATGAAATTTTATTGCAAATTCATTTCAGTGCAGTGGTGATTTTTCCTGGAGTCTTACATCATACTTTTTTTTTTCCCTAAGAAATTTGTTCACATAAAATGAGCAGACAGGAATGGAAAAGGTTTTGCTATAGCAGTACTATTCAGATCTTTTGAAACTCTTTCCACTTAATGTGCCAAAAATCACATAGTAATCGCCAGGATTTAACCTATCACTGACTTAACCTATCACTTAACCTAACCTATCACTGACAATTCCAGGAGGTCCTGATTCAATTTTGTCGAAAAAGAAACAGCTTGGGCCCAGGATTTAGCTCAGTGGTTTCAACCCCTGCTGCGCAAGCGCAAGGACCGGAGTTCAATCCCCGGTACCAAAAAAAAAAAAAGAAAAGAAAAAAACCCAGCTGGACGTCACCTGATTTGAGAAACATGTGTTACCCAATCATTAAATTTACTTTCTCAGCCAAGGTACCTGTTTTTCACTATGTGCCTTTGTTTGGCCCCTGGGATGTTCACACTTCACGCCTTTGTTGCTGTTGGTTTGCTTGTTGTCTGCACTTGCGCCCCTACTCCTTGGAAGGCAGGTAACTCCATAAAGGCTGGGATGTTTGTTTTATCTCCAGGGCCTTGAAAGCTATCAGATGGATAAGAGGTGCTCAGTGAATGTCCCTGGGATGTTATGAAAGAACGCAATGTTACCGGCACCTGGGTGTGCGTTGGATGCCAGGAGAGGAGGCAGCCAGTGCACTGATTTTGGGTTTCTCAGTCCAAAGGCAAAGAAAGATCATCTTCCTACACAGCTAAGAAGCAGCACATGGATTAGAAAAAAAAGTCCAAGCTGGAATCCAACCTGGGCCTGAATTCTGCTTTTTTGTTGTTGTTTGTTTTTTGAGGCAAGGTCTCGTTATGTAGTCCAGGCTGGCCTTGAACTCACTATGTAGCCCAGGCTGGCCTAGGACTCACAGCGATCCTTTTGCCTCAGCCTCCCAATCGCTAGGTTTACAGGAGTGTGCCACCATGCTTGTTCATCTTTCTTCACCATAGGCACCCCCTGCTGGAATCCCTCCCACTTGCCATTTCCTTAGGGACACAGGATAAAGAGAAGAGAGAAGGCACAAGAAGGATGCAAATGTAACTGGCTACATGTTTTATTGAGCCTCTTCTCTCTGGGGCATGGGGAACAGAAATGAGGAGTAAGGGAGAGATGTTCTGGCACAAACCCCAGAGGCACCAGGCACGTGAAGAAGGGAATCCTTCACTGGAATGTCAGCTGAAGGTGGGATGAGGGGAGCCTGAGTGGGCCTGCATGGGTGAGTGCTGGCATTTGGCAGTGTGGCCTGAGCATGTGACCCTGCTGCCAAGTGAGGAAAATGGCAGCAGGTGGACAAGTCACAAAGCAAGGCTGCCAGCATGTGCCCAGTGTGGGACTTATGAACAAGCAACCTCTCGAGCGAGGGGGGGGGGTTGCCAGGTCCTCGGACCCCTTATTTCTAGTTCACCTCCCAGGCCTCCTCCGTGTTGCCCTCAGGTGAGTCTGGGTCCAGATACTTGTGTCTCCTCTCGGCTGACCGCATCCGAGGGGAAAGCGGGGGCTGGGAGCCGGGAGCCTGAGCGTGGTACACCGGCTGGTAGTATTGCCGAGGGTACGTGTAAGGCCTCGACCTGGGCTCCGGCTGCCTTTCCAACTCCAGGTCTGTCTGGGACTCCTCCAGCTCAGGCTCCTTCTCAAGCTCCGTCTCGGACTCCGGCTCGGTCTCAGGCTCCAGCTCAGGCCCGCTGTGCAGGGGCTGGTCCAGGTCTATACTGAGACCCAGCCCACTGGGCTCTTCTGACTCCCTCGTGGTGTCCAGATCCAAGTCAAATGCCAGCGACTCCTCTTCAGGTCCCTGGGCCTTGGGGAAGCGTTGGCTTGCGTTTCTGGAGCTTTCTAGAAAACCACAACTCTTCTCATATCTTGACTTGTCATTCTGAAACACACAAAATCAGATGGGTTAAACGTTCCGATTCACTTAGCTTTTGAGCAGTCAAGGAATTTCAGATTACCATGGCACTTAAGGTACCGGAGCCAGGAATTCCCGGCAAAGCAGAAAACAATTCTTGCCTGAATCTGCTTTTCATTCCTGCACGTTTGGTTTCTCACTCATTATCCTTCAAGTTCAGTCACCCTTTAACTTGAGACCTCTGGCTCCTCTAGCTAGACTGGACGCCATGATTCAACATTTAAACAGCGAGGGGCTTGACGTCATGTGGAAACATCTTGTCTCTTTGATCTTGTTTTTTTGCCAATGCTCAATGCAAAGCCTTAAGGCTCTCTGTGACCTGGTCCCTTGCCCTCTTCTTTAGCTTCCTAAGTGTGGCACCCAACCTTTGCGCTAGCGCCAGTTGCCCGCGTTGCCCGACTTCCGCTCACCTGCGTGTGTGTTTCTCCTTTTACTTGCCTCAGCCTCCGTCTCACCCACACACACGTCCTCATCACCCCAAGGGCAGTTCGAAGAGGACGGCTGGGGTCCCAGCCACCTCGCTCACACTGCTATCCCTGTGCCGTTCGTGCATCCCTTATGTATTTACAAACCTGCCCCTGAAAGGCGCCAAGATCTGGAGGTAGGGGAGCACCTGGCTCTTGATATGCCCAGTTCCTATCACCTCGCAGGTGCCTGCAAGGCCCCGTGGATCAGCCATGCAGCAGCATTCCACAAAGTTCACCACTTTCACCCACGCGAAAGCATTTTCATCTACTCTTTGTGGGAGTACCGGTGATTGAACTCAGGACCTTGTGCTTGCAAGGCAGGCAGCGAGCGGCACCACTGAGCTAAATCCCCGGCCCTATTTTCATCTGACTCTTCTGCTTTTCCTTCTTCCTTCCTTGCTGGCTGCCCTCCAGTCTCCCTGCCCTCTGCTCTCCAGCTAGGTTTCTAGATCTCGGCATGCCCAGGCCCTGCCTCTGGGACCCTTCTTCTCTCTGCCTAAATGCACCCTCTAGCTAGTTGTATTTAGGCCCATAATGTCCACTGCCATCCACAGGACACGCCAGTGACTGGTGATAGCGCTTCCTGTCATCTGCAGGTGCATAGGCCCACTTCTGTTCTTCATATCTCCACTTGGATGTTTAGTAGGCATCTTGAATTTAATACAGAACATGAGATTTACATATGAAATGAAACTCACTTCTCTCCGAGTCTTCTCTCTCTTAAGTGCCTGGAAAAAATTAAATATTCAGTACCAATTCTTAATGTAAGTCCTAAAAAGAATGTCAGTAAATTAAGGGGGGGAAAACCCCTCTTTTTTTTTTGGTTGCTGTACTGGGGATCAAACCTAAGGTGCTCTACCACTGACTTACATCCTCAGCCCTTTTTGTTTTTTATTTTGAGACAGAGCCATGCTAAGTTGCCCAGGCAGGATGCGAACTTGTGATCCTCCTGCCTCAGCCTCCCTCAGTGCTGGGATGACAGGTGTGACCCATTGTACTTGACTTAAAGAAGTATTTTTTTATGAGAAGTACTTTAAAAGAAATAGAGTCAGGGGGCTGGGGATTTAGCTCAGTGGTTCTGGCGCCTGCCTCACAAGTGCAAGGTCCCAAGTTCGATCCCCGGTACCAAAAAAATAAATAAATAAAACAAAACAAAATTATTGGGGCCGGGGATTTAGCTCAGTGGTTTTGCCGCCTGCTGCGCAAGCACAAGGACCCAAGCTCAATCCCTGG